TCCCCGTAGGATCCTTCTGCTATCTCCCTGATTTAAGTATTTCACTCGACCCCTGCCACCCCATCTTATCTCCGCGATGCGTTATTTCCCACATTCTGCGTCTGCTAGACCAACTTTAGGCTAAAGATTCCGACTAATTGTCATGATTAAGCCTTTGCTTCATGGACCACGTTTATAGTAAATCAAGCCTACTGTCAGCCAACTAGCCCTAGTCTCTGCCGCGTCTATCCTGTTTCTATCCTTAATACCAAGTCTATGACTTGCTATGCCCTAGGCTCTTGTGTGCCAACCCACAAATGTTGTGGTACTGCTTGCTTTGATGTCTACTTGATGGATGGCAAATTTTATCTCGCTTAGGTATCATCAGCCTCCTCAATGGGAATCCAACCCGGGTTGTACTACATATACTCTCAACTTGGCATCACTGCGCCAGACCGCTAAGGGTACTCCTGAGTTTCACAGAGAAGGGAATTTTAGGGAAGGCCAGATTTCTCTCGTCACATTAATAAACAAACATGTATTTTGTTATTATAATCAACTACATTACTTATTATCATATTTAGTAGGTTACACAACTATTTGTAAATCTTAAATTAGAATTATGAATATATCTAGTCGATTTTAGGTTTTCGAGACTACCAGTAGATAATATCTATATATATTATATAAGTAGGCCTCATGTTTCAATTGAATTTCACACAGCCTTGCTTTCTAATAGAGGGCTGACATTAGTTTTGACCTTGCCACCAATAAGACATAAACCGTTATAATTCATAGTATAATTTCGGTATGCCAACCACTACGCCATACTACTACGAGTGCTTTTGCACGACAGAGTGGAGTTGAATTTCTAGACAGTGTTGCATATTGTTTAGTGTATCTCGATTATATGCTAAGCTATCACGGCTAGACTCCTTTGGGGGTACTGATGGGACCTAGGTGAGGTCGAAACTGCGGCCTCAGCGATGGGAAAAGGCCTGGGCTTCCTTGAAATTCTCATCTGCTCTTTGATCTAATGACACTTATGGCAGTGTGGCATAGGGGTTAACGTGTCGATTTCCAGCATCTGCCTGTCGCCGCTTGTCAGACATTTCGCCTGCATCGTAGTCGACATCCTCAGTGAGAGACACCATCCTTAGTACAGAGTTACAACTTATTAAAGTGACGAGTGAAGGATAGCGTCTCTTAGTGAAGATATGGCCGAAACATCTGGGAATGTACCAAATCAACATTCCGGTGCTGGAAATCATGCTGCATTCTATGGCAGATGATGCAGATTAGATACGTTTCACAAGGATTTCCTGTTGCTCTTACAAAGTTGCAAAAACGAGGCCTAACCAATACTAGACAGCTAAAGAAGACTGCGACCAAATAAAAGGCTACACCATTTTGGCCTTCATATCTACGAAAAAAAGTTTGCCT